AGGGCTCGGCCCGGAGGAAAAACGGCTCCGTGTGGCTTTTCCTTACTTAACAGGGGCTTATAAAAAAGAGAGCAACATTTTTTACGAAGGGTGTATTGATAGGACAACGGGGAATGGTTTTAAACTAAGAGATTTAGGTTAGATCGTAAAAATCATAGAATTGTAGGAGTCGGAGTGGACCTTATAGATCATCTAGTGGCAAGCCACTTGTGATGTCCCTGCGCCTTGCTATGGGCAGGGACATCTCCCACTAGACCATTAGGAAGAAATCCTTTACTTTGAGGGTGGTGTTACTTGAACAGGTTGCTCAGAGAAGTTGTGGAATGCTGCATCGCTGGAACTGTTCAAGCCCAGGCTGGAAATAAACTAAACACATGTATGTACAGACGTGTATGTATACAGACACCCACAGAGAATGACAAATACACTTCGTTTTATTTAGGTGTAAGCTGATAATGAAGTATGGAATATGCAAATAAACACATCAACTACATTTTACAGGGGTATGTAGTGATAGGACAAAGGGGAATGGCTTCAAAGGGACAGAGAGCAGGTTTAGTTTAGGAGGTACTAGGAAGAAATTGTTCACTGTGAGGCTGGTGAGGCACTGGCACAGGTTGCCCAGAGAAACTGTGAGTGCCCCATCCCTGGCAGTGTACAAGGTCTGACTGGATGGGGCCCTAAGCAACCTGGTCTAGTGGAAGATGTCCCTGCCCACAGCAGGAGGGTTGGGCTAGATGACCTTTAGAGCTCTCTTCTAACCCAAGGGCCCTAAGCAACCTAGTCTAGTTGAAGATGTTCCTACCCATGCAGGGGGTTGGAACTATATGATCTTTAAGGTCCCTTCCAACCCAAATCATTCTGATTCTATGAAAGAGTTTTGAGAAAACTGGCCACATAGGCCTAAGGAACACCACTCCCTCAGTGGAGAGTGCCAGACACCATGGATTCCCCATAGCAACAGGGCACACTGCTGTGGTTCCATGGGGGAGAAACTGCACCATCATCAGTAGCTGGAGGTGGGGGAGATCAGTGTCAGTAGGAGATGGCTGTAAGAGACCAGTGCTCCCTATCCAATACAGGAATTTAATTTCAGTTGGCATAAAGTTAACCTTCTTCCTAGTAGCTGGTAAGTGCTGGGTTTTTTATTTTAGTAGAGCAGCGTTGATAACACACTGGTGTTTCAGTTATTGCTCCCCAGTAGTTATTCTAAATCAAGGACATTTCAGTGTCCCATGCTCTGCCACCCAGCAGGTGCACAGGAAGACATGAGAGGACACAGCCAGGAGAGCTGACATGAACTAGCCAAAAGGATACTCCATACTGTATGGAATGTGCCCACTATATAAACTGGGGGAGTTGATCAGGAGGGGCTGATGACTGCTCAGGGACAGGCTGGACATCAGTCAGCAGGTAGTTAGCAATTGAATATACCTTACTTGTGTTTCTTGGGTCTTATTCCTCTCTGTTTGTTACTATTATTTTACTTTATTTAAATTACTAAACTCACAGTTCTACTCATGTGTTTACCTTTTTTTCCGGTTCTTCTCCCCATCCCATGGATGGGGGTGTGGGAGTGAGCATGTGGCTGTGTGGTACTTACCAGCTGGAGTTAAACCATGACAAGTGAAATACAAGTAGGGTGTGCAGACAGTCACTGTATTTCAACACCTTGAAGAAAGCAGACCGTCACTGTATTTCAACACCTTGAAGAAATGCCCTTGATTCCCTTCAAGCAGATATTTTTTCAAACTAGCTCTTCTTCCTACCTTCCAGTACCTTCCCTTAATCACAGTCTTGACTGAGAATTAGTAACACTGATACAGGAGAAAAAAAGAATCTGAGTAAGGATGCATTTGCTGATAATATTGTTAATGGTAAGTGGTTCACATTTGTGTTGGTCTGTTACTTCCCTGTAATTGTCACCACTTATTTCGTCTACTGCATTAACCCACCCCTCTCATCTAGTCTGAGTTTTCCACATACTTCCAAATTTAAATGGGGGAACATAACCTACCCTTTCTCCATCTGAGAGCTGAGCAAGTGCTATGAAAACAAAACACACTGTCTACAGTGAAATTACCTGCTGTCATCTGAAAAATAACAGAGATAGCTTTTGATACACTTTGAAATACTCTTACTTTGATAAACTTGTATGGAATGTTGCCAGAGGCATCCTTATTCTGTTAACTGGAGAAATAAAACAGAAGAGCTGAACATCAAGTCTTTGCACTGTGCCTGTTCCCAAATCTTCAGTCATTTCTCCAGATCAGAAAATAGAAATCTGCTGACATAGATTATGGGATATGGCTCAACACAACCTACTTTCATGCAAATATTTAAAGTTAGTAATAAAAGTTTATCAGGCAACACTGGACATCACACAGGAATTCCTCTATTTATAATAATTTTGCAAGGAAATTTCAGCACTGGCACAGGAGAAAAGCAAATACTAATAGTTCATCTCTATTTTGATGTAACCAGAGGCAAACAGCAAGTTCAGAGGAGGCCACGAAACTGGTAAGAGGACTGGAGCATCTCCCCTATGAAAACAGGCTGAGGAAGTTGGGGCTGTTCAGCTTGGAGACTTCAGAGCAACTTTTCAATATCTGAACGGGCCTACAAGGGAGCCGGAGGGGGACTTTTTGTTAGGAACTGCAGTGATAGGACAAAGGGTAATGGGTACAAACTGAAGGACGGGAAGTTTAGGTTAGATATTAGAAAAAAAGTATATTACCGTAAGGGTGGTGAGACACTGGCACAGGTTGCCCAGGGAAGTGGTGGTTGTCTCAAACCTGGCAGTGTTCAAAGGCAGGCGGGGTGAATGTTCAAAGCCAGGCTGGATGAGGCCTTGAGCAACCTGGTCTAGTGAGGTGTCCCTGCCCATGGCAGGCAGTTGGGACTAGATGATCTCTAAGGTCCATTTAACCCCTAAAATTCTATGATTTTAAAAAAAAGGAAATGTATTTTAATTGATGTATTTCTTCACTAAGTACATTCTCTGGCTTAAAATCATCAGAATATAACTGGTAGTTCAGGCTACTGTAGGAACAGATTGAGAGTAGCCCCGAGGAGAAGGACTTAGGGGTGGTGGGGGATGAGAGGCTGGGCATGAGTCAGCAATGTGCACCTGCAGCCCAAAAAGCCAAACATGTCCTGGACTACATCCAAAGCAGTGTGGCCAACAGGTCAAGGGAGGTGATTCTGCCCCTCTACTCAGCTCTGGGGTCTCCAGTAGAGGAAAGACACAGATCTGTTGGAGTGAATCCAGAGAAGGGCCACCAAGATGATTATAGGGATGAGCACCCCGTCTATGAGGAAAGGCTAAGAGAACTGGGATTGTTCAGCCTGGAAAAGAGAATGTAATGAAAGTAGACAGAAGTCAACTTTATTTGAACAAATAAACATTATCAAAATGGAAAAGGAAAAATAAGTTGACAGACTTTGTATACTGTACTTTCACTAACCATACAAGTTAGATTGCCATTTTCTTCAAATTCATCTCACACATTCTATTTACAGAGGCAGACTGTGTTTAAAATGACCTACAAAACAATGACTATCTTTGTTATTCCAGTTACCACTACATCATTACTCCCTGGTATGACCAGATTTAAAACCTGACTGACCTACACACACTCATCCTGCCTCCTGCAGTTGCTGTTTCTTATTTTGATGGCTCTATGACAGCTATCAATTAGATCCTGCATCCTTATTATTCCCATTAAGTAAATAAAAAGTGAATATTTGCCAAACATTCTTAATCCCCAAGGCAAACATCACACAATGTATTTCATTTCAGCAGTATACTAAAAAGCTTTATATTGTTTAAAAATCAGTAATAGGAAAAGACACTATCAGTTACATTTACATTCTACGATTTGTAGGTACCCTTAAAAATAGTATAAATATAGGGCACAAAATTCATAACTGTAGCAAGAGACAAATCCTGAGAAAGCTGTCTTGCTGAGGATTTATTCTTTCAGTTTCTCAGTGCAGACATCTGAACTTTTATTTCATAGTTTATATTAATCTTCAGTAATGACTGCTAATGTATTAATCAATCAGTGAAGCCGTTCTAGCTTGGCCTGCAGAGATTTAAAATTCCCAATGATATTCTGCACCGTTAGCGTTGGGGTCATAGACTGAAGTTCAACCAGGTAGCAACTAATAGCATCCAAGCAAACATTTGTGAATCGTCGCCTGTAAAGAAAACACAGAATAATAATGAGCTCCTTTTTGTTCCTGAATATTAGAATTCACCTGAAATAGAAAGTGAGCATTCGAGTTTTAATGGAATAGCAGATCAGCAAGACATCTGTCAGCTGCTTTTAAGTATTTAACTACTAGAAAAATTTATTTTTAAATCCAATGTTTGTGATTAAGGCATAATGGGAAAATAAATGAACCACTATCTGATATTAAACTATAAAACATGATACAGTTAATAGCATTGAGAAATATTTATTTACTATTTAGATACTACTTTAGATATGAATACAGTCAATGAATGAGTAATTTAGATAGCAATTTCAATATATTAAATTAGTATGAAACCACAATTTAGGTATTAATATATAAATAGATAGTAAAATCAGACAACATTCACTAAAGTTCTAGTAAGTTTACTATTTAAATCAGCCAACCATAAAAGGTCAATAAAGCGAGAAAAGAGGTAAACTGTATGCAAACAGGAGGTATTAACAAGTGTATTTTCAAAAGAATCAGAAACATTTATGTACATAGGAGTTATCAATACTTTCCCTAGTTCTGCTCATTGTTTCTGAGACAAGATAGCTCTGACTGAAGTTTGTATAGTCTACTCACAAAAACCACCAAAGCTAGAGATAATATACAGACAACTTAGTCAAGTACATAGTTGTTGGTTTTGGGGTTTTTTGCTAGAAATTTTTTCTAATATTACACCTAATTTTTTTCCTGCAAACTAAGCTGAATTTTAGTCTTGCAGAGTGATTCATCATCAACCTCTTAAAAGCAATTTGGAAAGATCTATCCCAATGTTTAGTCTTCTGTTTTTCAGAATAACTTCTAGAATTGCTACGTGAAACAACTGACTGTTTCATTCACAAAATGCTCAATTCTCATTTTCCCCCACTTTTCCCACATTGCCTTAAAGTGTGTGGCCAAAATTTACAAAATAATCCTCTTTGCTCCTCATGGATCTTCAGTAAAGTCAAGAAAATTACTTTGCTGAAGTAGTTTATAGAGAGAACTCTACAAGCTTCTACTAAATGGTTTTGAATGAAGAGTGTCAGTAATCACTGCTAGAATTACCCAAAAGAAAAGAAGAACAGCTGTGGGGATTGCTGAAGTGAAGTGTTTTAGGATATTTCACATCTTTCACTATTCATTAGGATATAATGGCGCTTCTTACCTCATAGGTACTCTGCTTGGATCCTGTACATATCCTGACAATAATTCATTAATACACTCTAAGAGGTGTAAAGGCTTTTTCATTCTATTCCAATATGGGTCCTAGAAAAAATATTCCAAAGTATTAAGGACACAAATGTTTAGGAGACAAGAAAAAAACAAGTGTGTGGTGTGTACACAAATTGGCAGCTGTGGTAATTATTTATTCATTATATCAACAATGTAAGACACATGGGAATTCTAACTTAAGTAATATTTGGACTTTTAAGTACTAAAACATACATGAATTTAACTCAGTTTTTCATTAACAGTCTGTAGAGTAATAGATTTTAGGAAGTTTTGAATTCCTAGGAATCTGAGTAAAAAGAAGCAAATCAATTCTCTTAGGTTTTCATCTACTTAAGTCTATTCTACAAACCAAAAGTTAAAAATACGACTTGATTTTTCATGCCTATTGCATCAACAGACTAGACAAGATGCAGTAAATAGCAAATTTTAATCATCATTAGGCAACAAATAAAATGAATATATTCAATATATGCTGTCCCTTCTGCACCATAAGAATACCAATCCTGTTTCATCTCAAATTAGCTCTAGGTGAAGTAAAAGAATTAACAAATTTCCTCATGCTCTAGGATTGAAATGAATAAAATCAACAGAGGGGAAAGCAGCATTAAGTCTCTGCGTAAAGAAACAACAGCCATGAACATGGTATTTTGCACTATTCCATCTTACATGACTTTACATGCCCCACTAAAGACAGACCTTGACAGCTGCTGAGAACAGAATTTTTATTTTGTGCTATTTTCCTTACCCGTGCTTTAAACAGCTGGTCATACACTTCAAGCAGCCTTGGCAATGGCACTCCAATTTCTTGCATGGTGTATGTTACAAAACCTACATGCCAGTTCAAAGCGCACACGTGTTGCTCTAGGAACTGCACTAAAAAATCTGGAGGACAAAAATAAGGGAATATTTAGATTCCAACTTGCTAATGGGAGCCTAGCAAACAAAGGCATTTAAGTGTCATTGACTCAAAGTTAATTTTCTGTCTTCCACACAGCTGGTACCTTTCTCCTGTGAAGCACATGGAACAGGCATTACTCCTACCATGTCCTTTGTAGCAACTATGCTGTTAAGAAAAAAGTCATTAACTCTTCTGTCATGATACTATCATGACATTTGCCAGAATAGCCCGCAACACTACTACAGATTTTATCATGTCTAAGTGTCAGTAACAATTAGCAATGTATTGCTCAGCACTAAACCTTCTTTTACAACATTAGAAACATATTGTTCATCTTGGAAGTTCCCAGTATTTTAGTATTATAAAAGAAGGCTTAGCGCTAAACAATACATTTTCCAGGTTTTTACGTAATACCAAGTAGTTGAAACGTGAGCATCTCAAAAGCAGAAAGAACCTCCAAAAAGGATCCAGAAATCTCCTGAGTTCTGTTTTTGGCATCTACCCCTGCAGACAGCAGTAGATGCTTCAAGAGGCAGCAGATAAACGCGGTTGCCTATAATATTATTATATGTATAAGTAAGTATTTTTACCTTCTACTTTGATACAAACAAACTACTACTTTCTAAAATGGGATCTGCACACCCATCCAAAAGTAACAGCTGCTGCCTTCTAAACTTCATTTACTTCCTATTTCCTTTTAGCTTAAAAAAAACAACAAACAACATTGCTTAGCTCAGAACTTTTAAAGAAGCTAAAAAGAAAGCTGAGATCCGTTCACATAACATCTATGTTTAAAAGAACTTGCCTAAAGGAAAGTATCGAGGTGTGCCAGCATATATCTTTCCAAGCAATGCCAACTTCAGATAAAGTGCTTGCATTCTGTCAGCAGGACTCAGGGATATACTATCGCTCAGCTCTGAAAGTGAAGAGACAACATTTTGATAGGACTTTGGGGAAAAAAGTTCCACATTTATACAGAAATACACTGAGGCACTTAAATCTAATCTTACATTATTGTTGATGCAAAGTCAGCACAAGGGAGTAAAAATACAACTTCTGGTGTGTATGCATGTACATTCACAGATATTTATGTCTCCTTAAAGCTCCATGCAAATCTAACTAAAAATCCACAACCAAACAAAAACATACCCCAACCCCCCCACCCAACCCAACTACCACATAGCTTTTCCCTCAAATCACTATTGATGTTGTTCGCACAATGGCAAGCTTGAACCCAAAATTCAAGGCAAAAGCCCCAAAAACAACAGGGAGAGTGAATTACTAAGTCAAGGTAAAGGATGAGGCAGATCATCAGAGCTGAGTGACTAAGATTGCAGAGCTGGGTGCCACTACTCTGCTTCTCTATACATGGTTAGGACCCTTACACTTCCAGTCCCGTCAACACTAGAAATGCTCAATTCCCTGAAGACTCTTTATAATTTTTGTCACAGCAGCAGTAACATTGTTACTATAATTTCCTAATGGTGAAATCTTCAGACACAATTTCACAGCTATTCTGAAGTCCACATATAATGGCATCTAAGAAAAAGAAAGGATGAAGTAACTTCTAAAATGCTATTTGGAATGTGATTATTCAAGCCATATACACAATATGGTTGAACATATCTGTAAAAACATCATTTCTCTGTCCTTTAGGCACACAAGCAAAAGGTAATAACACTAATGAGTTACTAGTTAACTACACTTACAGAATAGTCCAGAAAAGATGCATATCATTTGGACAGCATATCAGCAGCAGCCCATTCAGTCTTACAAGCCTTAACTGTATCCTTTTCCTACAGTTCCTACTTGTCCATTAAGACCTACCTTTCTCAATGATTTCTTGCCAGACAGTTTGCACCAAGATAGGATCAGAATGACCTGCGCAATGTATGATTGCAAGCTTACACTCCGAGAGCTTAAAAGGGTCAGCAAATTCTCCATACAGCTGAAAGAAAAATTACCAAGCTTTACATTCCACATAGGATGTAAACAAATCTTAAAAATCAGCTGTTCTTTGTTTTATGTGGTAGACATTAGACTAGTAAAGGTGCATCTGAAGTAACTCTTTTCAGTCACTAATATTTTTTGCTACATTTGGTTTCGCTTCTTAAATACAACCCCAAATTTCACATGAAGTTAAAATTCAAACTGTTTACCAACAGTTTTCCCAATAAATGAAGAAATCTAAGAGACTTAATGAAGAAGATAAACACATGAAAGGAATTAAAGTACTGAAGATGCAACAGAAAATGACAGTGTAGGGTAACAGACATCCTGAGACCAGGATGCCAAACTCTCCTTTTCCTAGTCAGTATAGGATCATACTTTGCAAAATATTTTTTTGCCCCAAAATCTGATAAATAGAATTTTAAGACAAGGAAATAACCTTGGTTATATCCATCAGCTCAGCATCAAGCTGGGAGATTGCATCTTGTACTGAAGAATGATGGGAATATTGCTGCTGCAGTGTTTCTTGTATTTGAAGCTGGATCCTTGCAACCTTGATTATCAGTATAGGATCATACTTTGCAAAATATTTTTTTGCCCCAAAATCTGATAAATAGAATTTTAAGACAAGGAAATAACCTTGGTTATATCCATCAGCTCAGCATCAAGCTGGGAGATTGCATCTTGTACTGAAGAATGATGGGAATATTGCTGCTGCAGTGTTTCTTGTATTTGAAGCTGGATCCTTGCAACCTTGATTAAAGAGGAAAATACAGTATTTCAAGATTATATTAATTTACTCAAAGCTTATGAACACACTCAGAATTCACTTTAAGTTATTTAAATGTGGAAATGTTACTGTCTTATACCACTGAGTCCATTATCCACTGCTTAACTTCACAATAGCAGGAAGAAAGCATAGAAGTTTCTACAGGACTGGTAATAAAAGTGTCATGTGCCAGTGAGGCAAAGTGAAATCATCCATTTACACCATAGCTTAGGTAAGTATTTTTTCTTACTTCCATCTTCTCTTCTAGTTCATGTAGGAATTCACCATCCTCAGCTATAGAGGATATGGCAGTGGAACTTTTGGCACTCAAAATGGCACGTGCAATGTACTCAAGACGCTGCTGAAGAGAAATTTCTGTGCTGCAAAACACATATTCAAAATCAAGTAAGTACTTAATATTACTACTTGAGGATTAATTATATTCAAACTAGACTCTGGGAATTACTATGTGGCTTTTCATGATTTTATCAGTCATGCAGGACATGATGCTACCATGTAACCCCATCTTTGTTGCAGCCTCAGTTCTGGTGTACTTCTCAGTCCACTACTACAGTTAAACTATCGCATTATAAAAATCTGTGTAAGAAATGACCACTTAATATACAATACTCCCAACAGGAACTACATTGCAAACTAATGCATAATACATAAAATACACATAATTTCTTTCCAATAGCTGCCTGGAATTAACACTAATATAATCCATCAATTAGTAATTTTTTTTAGAAAACATACTTGTGCATTGGCCTTTCCTTGGCCTCTTCTTAGAATATGTATATATAAGGTTTTGATTTAAATTTGGTTAATTTTTCCCTAGTTACTTCAATATAAATAACAGATTGCACATAATCCATACCTATGCAGGTCAGCCAACTTAGCCAAGACTCTGGCAGCACTACTAAAATTTCTGTTCTTTTCAAAGTATCTCCACAGTAAATCCATATAGCGGACTTTGTTTTGGTCAATCTTGGTCATCCTCACCAGGTAAGGTTCCAAAAAGGGGGCAGTAACCTGCAGAAGTCATAAAGATAACATTTATACTTTTGCTCTTCCCTCTTGTTTTAAAGCATCAGCATTATTACAATTAACTCTTCCAGTTTGTTGTGTATAGATGAGCTCACCTCTAACAGTTTGTCTGCCAAGTCAACTTGTATCAACCAGTTGTAAAGTGCAATACTGAAGAGTTCATCCGTTGAACGCTGAGCCAGCTTCAGCATTTGTTCAAACTAAAGGAAGGAAAGACCAAAGCTATTATTCCAGAAGTGGTTCCATTACATTAAGCACTGAATTAATATGTGACAATACTTAGGTTCATGTTGTTTGCATGTCATCGTTTCTGTGGACACTGTATAAATTCCACACGCCTTAAAATCACACTGTTTTCTGGAACGCAGTCATGACTTTGTATGAGTTTCTTACATGGTGTCCTGCTTCTTCATTGCTTAGCATGTTGGGGTCAGATGACAGCACCGGAGGACCTGGCTTTTTGGGTACACTGGGAGACTGAGGAGCAGCTTTACTTTGATTCACTAACTCTTGAAGGGTGTCAGTGATACACTTGTAGCTGTTCAATCTGGAAAGACAGCCAAAGAAAATTTTCATTGCAACTGCTTATGAAATACTGTTCTCAAGTGTTGTTACTGTATGGCTTTGTAGACAGTTACTAAAATTTGAAAAAGGTCACAGATTACTGTCAGCTAGTTGTCACAATCTAGTTTGTTCTCATTCATCTTTCTAACAAGTATTTCTGTAATGTTCAGAGCACAATGTGTTCAGCATCTATAATTTTACCCTTAAGTTGGTGCCATGTTAATCATAATCAAGGGGAGTACGCTGAGCAAAAGCATTTATATTATGTCCCTTAATAAAATGCTTGTTTGTTAATATCCTGCATGCCTTCCCTAAAAAACCTACTTTTCTGGTCACTCGAAATTAAGCATCCCATATAATGAAAATAAATTATCCTGGAAACTTGCCTCTCTTGGAAAGCTTGGAGTCCAGCAACATCCTCTTCTGGTTCTCCGTTTTTATAGAAATGAAGGCCAAGACCTTGGGGATCTTTCTTCTCAGCAGCCGTTAGGGAGAGTTCTACTACTCCCTCATAGAAACGCACTAGGAAAAAATCAAAACAACAATCATCATTCATTATTGCATTACAGCTATGATGAAGTGGTGACATCACACACTCCCCATTTTAGCAAGAAAGAAAAAATAAACACTATTGACTCTGGCCTGTATCATATAAAGGTTTATGCCTGTACCAAACCCATGTGATTTATATGCAAGTTTGAAGTTTGGTATGAAGTTATATCAGAATGTCCTGTACAATGTGTAATACTGTACAGAAGCCAAAATCTTCAGTTACAACAGTTACATCTACGATTAAATTATGTACTAGTGCCTTCTGCACTAAACAGGATACAGAATCATCTTTCAAACAGCATATATGGTACAAAGCCTTATATGAAAAAGTACAGTCATTTTCACTCTGCTTACATACTGCCCAAAAATTTTCCTAAAAGCATTTTAACCACTTACATGAAACAAATGGAAACTGTAGTAAGTAGATAGGAATATTTTAATGCAGAAATAGCTTTTCTGACTTGTTGGTGAAATCTAGAAAGGCTCTAAAAAAGGACAGGCTAGCACATGTTAATTATAAGAGTTGTTAAGAAACTGTTTATGGCAAAACACTACAAAACCAAAGTTAGTAAAGAAAACAAACAGAAAAGATGGTAGCATGTAGTATCCTATTTGCCAGAACGTGATCAGTGACTGGCTCTTACCCTGCCTGTACTGTGCACAAACATTAGCAAGGTCTACTTGATTGCTGATCTTCTGGTACTCTTTCAGTGACTCTCTCAGCATCTTCTCTTTCTCCATTTTGCTTTGTGCCTGTCGAGACCGCTGAAGAAGTTCATTTGCCTAAAGACAAAGATGGGAAAATGGAAATGACTGGCATGAGCACATCAGGAGCAGATCACGAATACTGTCAATGACTTATTACGCCAAACTTCAAAGCTGAAACAGGAGAAACATCATCCTCTCAAAAGCACTCTGGTCACTAAGTTTCCAGCAGAAAGGCTACAATAGCAGCACAGAGAAGAGCTAAAGACTTCACCAATTGGCTCTCCATTCTCTTTTCATCAGTTACTTATTTCAAATTTGTTTGAAAGCTTCAAAGACTGACGTTCTTAACATGATTAGCCTTCACAAATTCCATCAAACTGTGCAACAGACAAAAACCAAGAGACTATGCTGAGGGAAGACTGGAATAAGAAAACACTTTATCAACACACAGAAGATAAATAGAATCTCTACCTCCAGTGTGATGTCTGTGTACATTACAAATAACTGCAAATGCTTCACACAGTTATCACATAATCTTCAGCATTAATTGGCTAAATGACACAAATATGTCCAGAACCTGCCTTCATTACTTCTTGTTCTTCTGAAACTACTTGAGCATAATGATTTACACACTGCACAACTTATTTCATTTGAAAGTGTTCTCAAATTGCACTTTAATGCTGTAAAATCTGGAAGTGCACTTACTTTGGAACACACAGCATCATCAGTGCTATAAAGAAGAGGACAGATATCTTGCAAATGGGCAATGATGCCATCCACAGCAGCATTATCTCTGATGTAACAGTTTATGAGAGAAGCAATGAGTGCTCCAGTCAGCTCTCTGTCTCTAATCACCAAGTCTTTAAAAGCAGTAATTTTGAGCTGTTCTTGAAGTTCCTGTAGAGAGAGAGAATTTAATGAGTTTAGCAAATACTTTACTCTCTTTAGAAATGTCAGAACATTACACCAGCAAAATGAACAATGTTGAGTAATTAAAAACATACAAAACTCCAATGACTGAAGTGGACAGGATAGGAATATGTTATTTAAACCAGACATTATATACCAACATAAAAAAAATAAAGAAAGGCCTATCAATGAAGGTACTAGATCCCTGGATGCCTAAGGACTGTGAGAACTCCTCTTAGCAGACTTCCTCTGCCATCTTCACTGTGTGTAACTTGTTTCAGTTCTCTGCAAGTAAGAATGGAATTAGCAGTTTCCCTTACTTCACAGGGCACTATCAGAATGCACACCCTATAAAATGAGTGAGGCAGAGTTTTTAGTATTGGGAACCATCTGAGTATTGTCATAGATGAAAAAAATGACAGATGCAATAAAAACAAAAAGTTTGAGGTCTGTACTCACTATGCTTCTCTAAATTAAAGTATACTGAAGATTATTTATTTATTTTTTTAATTAGGAATATTTGCTCACATACAGTTGCCAGTAGTATCTATAGATGCTCACTAACAGCACAATAATATTACTATAAAAACTAAATCTACTGAAGACAAAGGAAACGGTTCTAACTGTTAACAAGTTAGTTAATTCCTTGTTCAACACAAGACAAAAGCGGCCCAAAGCTCCCCAAAGCAACAGTGTTACAAGCTACAGCTTTCATGCATCTGTGAGGTTTTAAAGTTATTCTTTTTACAGACAAAGAATACAACTTCTCAAATAATCAATTTCCCTATCAAGTGCTATGACACAATACCTAGTATTCAAACAGTTTTTTCAAGGGTTGGATGCAAACTTGACATTAGCACTGACAGTAACAGTAGCACCCATAGTTCAGCAAGTTTCCTTCTTTACAAATCAGGAGAGGCTGAAAGAACTGCAATTGTTTAGCCTGGAGGCTCAGGGAGTAGTACGTGGTATCTTAGTAATATTTTTGGGGAGGTGTAGAGAAGGAAGAACCAGAGTTTTCTTAGTGGTGCCCAGTACTAGGACACTACACAATGGCCAAAAGCTGAAGCAAAAGAAATTACACCTGAATATAAGACAAATCTTTTCTACCCTTGAAGTGGTTCAACACTGGAACAGGTTACCCAGACTTTGGGGAGTTCCCATCATTGGAGTTACTAAAATCCTTAATGGATACAATCGTAGGCAACCTGCTCTAGTCGACCCTGCTTTGAGGGTCAACTAGATTACTGTCCCACTCTGGAACCCAGCTTACACAGAAGCACGAAGACTTCACTACCCCATTGCTCTCCAACTTTCACCAACACTAGGGCAGACAGTGAATTCCACCTGGCTGGACAAACATTGGTCTATTCTTTGCAGCACATTTTGCAGAATGTGCTTAAGGTGAAAATACAGTAGTTTATAACAGCAGATTCATTATTAACTATCAATTAAAAAGCTAGTTTATTATCAGTGACACTTCCAATTTAATAAAATTGGGTGATTAGGTCAATACTACATGTCAGTCTCTTTAACACTTGCAACCTGAATAAAAATCAGTATGTGGCTTAAAATTCATTATGTTTCTCAATGAATTTAAATACTAGTCCTTTGGGAATATTTAGATAGCAAAGGAAATTTAGGTGCTAAACAAGACTGTATGATTCAGATCATACCTTCTGAAGCTCACCAACAGCAACGCTGAATTGGTGCTCACACAACAACTTCCATAAAGCCAATGCCTGGCAGGTTTTGCGAACAAGCTGTTGGATGCCTTGAAGTGAAGTCTTCTCAGTTAGCTGTGCCTCAGCTGAAAAAGCAGAGGTTGTCAGCAAGTAATTTTTCTACATGTTTCAAATTCGCATATAAATTTTTGAGGTTTTAAGGTAACAATCTCCTCAGATTTCTAATTTTTTCCCTGCTGTTCTTGAATAATGCTGTCTAGTTCTCTTGGGAGATAAGTGTCATGTTAACACTTCCCCAAAACAAATACATTTCTTTCAAACTATGCAACACATGAGGAGTACCTCCTCAAGGAGATGTACAGTTTCCTATGAATATACTGTATTTACAAATCAGTCTTAAATTCTTGCCTACTTTTTTGCACAAATAGCTATGATAAAAGTATTTATGATTAACATAAAAGAAATGAAAGTAAAACCATAGAGTCCTTTTTTTTTGGTTACCTGTGTTCACTTTTAGAGAGAACTATTAGAATCACAGCTGTGATCAACACTCTCTATCTTTAAAGCAAAAAAATACACCAAAAACTAGTAAAATTAAAGCATCAACTACTCCACAAACTAGTAAAATTAAATCTTGTGAGATGTATTATATTAACGGAGAGGATAATGTGGCCATACTTATAACGCAGATGAAACATAATTGCAACAATTTATGTCTTTACTTTTGAGTGCTTACAGTTCAAAATGAGGCAGCAATAATTACATTGTGTCATTTAGCAATTCAAAAGGGGTTTATGAGCCTTGTAAAGAATAAAAATAAAAAATAAAATTATGAAATGTCTACCAAATCCTACATAATGACTTAAAAACAAATTTACATTTGCACTATTGAAAACTCAGGATTACACCTACATGGACCACAACCATCTTCAATTCTGTACACACAGCAGCAGTACTTCCTAGCTTCCCTACAGGTGCTTGGCAAATGCTGCACTACAGAAGGACATAAATTCCAATGGACTGTGTGACAGACTTCATATTTCTAAACAAAGTTTTGTAGACGTTTCAGTGACGTCTACATTTTATGCTCACTTGTCTCATAGACTAACTGCTTAACAACCACTATCCTGAAAATATAAAAGGGCGTGCAACTACTTCCTTTAGTGAGGAGACTAAACAATCTTAGGAACTATGGAGAACACTCAGAAGAAAAAAAAAAGAGATAAGTGTGCAAAAAGCCAGCACTTTGTGTAATGTGTAATGTAAAATCTGTGAGAGGAAAAAAGGCCTTTTAATTCAGAGGATTTCACAAGAAAAGTGAGAGAGACAACATCCAACTGCACCATTTCCTGACACTTCCCGTTCAGAAGTAATTACATACCATGATATTTCCTCTGTAGTTCTTGCTGAACTTGATGAGAACTTCCACCATCAGGCCGCATAAAACCCAGGAGTCTCTGCTGCAAATTGACTGGTGTGCTGAAACTACCATTCCAAAAAAGGAAAAGATGCTAATATGATTACAAATACTGAGTCTTTTCAAGATAGAATCAAACAACTCATCCCTAGCTTCTGAACAGCTGAAGCTGGACATCATACAAACACTTCAACTCAACACAGACACATGTGGTACAGATAGATATTCAAGAGCTGGACATTAAATGCCACCAGTAAATTGAACACAGTGAATAATACCTTGGGTTTCCAAGAGCTCCTACTGTAGTAAACTGTGAATTTCTCTCCAGAAATTCTTGTAAACCTTTTAGTTCGTGCAGCACACATTCCAGCACATGGGATGGAACACTGCTTTCTATCTGCAAAAGAAAGCAGACTTCTTTACAGAAAGCTTAGTTTTCACACTTTTTCCCAATAATTCACAACTTGGAGCTACCACCACTAAAAAGACAAACGCAAAGAGGGTACAGCAAATAAATTGTGTAATAGTAATGGATCACTAGAACACAACATTATTATACTACATTCATTGAGGGGGCACACAGGAGGAGGCAGAAGTCCTCTGAAGATATACAGTACACAACATGCTACTTTCTTTGCCCCTCTAATAACCAAATCAGCTATGGTTTACTATTTCCAACTCTAAACTAGAACAATGATTGAGCATTGCTACGACACAGAGTATAACTGCTAATGTCTTCCAGAGTCTCCCAGTTACCTTAGGAGGTAGGAGGAGGAAGCTCATGTAGCAGTTAATTTGCAGTGCTGAAATTACTCAGTTCAGGATTCTAGTAACAGTCACGGTCAGAAGATTTTATTTTGATCATGGGCAAAAAGCGAAACAGCAAGGTGTTAGTCAGGAAAGTGATGGAATTTTCATGTCCATCCGTAACTGCGATGACTATCCCAGCTCACTAGAGCATTTTACTTTTAGGGTTTGTCTGAAGGTGTATGCAGAAACACTCAGCGGTATGAAGGAAGTGTCATCAGTAAGCATGGAGAAAAATGGGTTTTTTAAAAATTAACATTCAAAATAATAAATTAAAAAGACAACTAGGTCTCAGTTAAGAGCTCAGTGCTCAAGAAAGCATTGACATGAAAATGATGGGTTTTACCTTAATATAAATGGTAACTGAAGTTTGAAAGGACATAAGACAAATACTATGAGAAACTTAAGAACAGGATAATCTTTTACGTACTGCAACAACTTCTCGATTGCCACTTTTGAAAACTCTCTCCACAACTATACTGCCATCCCAAATATTTCTGCAACAGAAAACAGTTCTATGTTAAAGGCCAACTAATTTGACCAAGTATTTTTGCAAGTCTTACATGTATAATTTCTTAAGGAAGAAATTGTAGTGCTTTTTACTTCAAGGTCTAAAATCAGGACTTAATCTGAATGAAAACTGACTATTCAAAAAAGCAACCAGTATACAATCGTAAATAGCAGAGATATCAATAATGAACAAAATTTCATATTTTAAAATTTCAATGAAATTAAAATTGACACTTTCAAATACTTTAACTATACACCAATACTGTTTTCTGGAAATATAAATAAACCAGTGTAACAAAATTTTCTTTCCTAATCAGCGTGTAGAGAGAAGACAAATATATGCAGACCTCTGTTCTTGCTTGGGGTGTTTAGTAACAGAACTCAACATCCAAGTAACACAATCCTCTTTAGTCCTGATTCACTGCTCTGATTTGAGCATTCCGTTTAAAAATTCTTAAGAGAAATGACTTCAAGCCAGGAGTCTGATCCTGTAAGTCCTTCTGCATTTATGTTTCATCCTTTAGCAGGA